ATGAAATAAAAAAATTTGACCAAGTTAATGCGTGAAATGAGCTTCTTCTACAGTATACAAAAAATTAAAATTTTATCTCCAAGTAGTTCAACGTTAAACGATCAAGAGTTTGACTGAGTATTCGAGCTCAACGCATGAGACCCTCTCACATTCTGGTTTTTTTTATCAGGCGATGCATGTTCAAAAAAATTTGAATTGAATTGTTTCTCTGTGAAATTTACTGAGAAAAAAATATGCACTGAATAAGCGTAGTGGACGTGCGTAATCATTTTTCAAAAATCAGATCTCCGGTTAAAATAATTCGGCCTTGCTATTTGAATTTTGAGCTGGTACGGTAACTGATCAAATCTCTGCAGTCGGTAACCTTGTCTCCTGGCATACCTATTACCACCTTCTCCGTAAAAGAGTTTAGCTATGCGTAGTCGCCCCTCCACAATTCTTAGGCCCCGCCTCCTGGGGCTAAGTGCTCTGTGCTTGGAGGAATTAATCGATTATTAAATCAACAATATCTCGTTAATTATCCATCGAATCCAAATTTTGTAAAAAGCTTTTCGAGAGCTTTTGATGAGCTTTATCTCGTGGTATAGTTTTACGGGCTCAAAATCAGAACGCCCTGTATAAAAAGTGTAAATTACCTTCATTGCGTTAGTCAGTAGGTATAATAAAAGGGCTGTTTCCTTAATGCGCAACGCTTATAAATATATGCCGAAAATTACCGCCACTCTATATTTCAGCGTATGTTATTGTAAAGAAACGTTTGGTGGAGTGGCGGCTGTTCCGACGTTTGTAGGGGGGGGGGGGTGTTCTAGCTTGGCGGTCAATTTTCAGTTAGTACTGTAAGACTAATATTGCTGCCAATGTCACTTTCTTGTGACAACTTTTAATCCTATGTCCATTAGACCAGGTGGTGGCTATTCTGCGTTTGATACCTTGGGACTTTTTTCAAAACGACCTAATTCGTTATCAATACTAGATAACGTAAAAATACGTCGGATCTTCACGTATTATGAGTTCTCTCAATATTTGGCGAATTGGCGGCAATTTTGCAATTTACCCACCCACTCAACCCCAGTTCTAAGTATGTTACTATTGAACACAATTGCAGGAATAAACAATTCAACATACAATTACAATCTAGAAATATATTTCCAGGCCATACAGTAAGCTGAGTACTAGTAAACCATATTATTTAAGGGCATAATTAAGTATCAATCTTGGAGGGGACTGTTGATCTAGTGATATCAGAAATTATCGTAACTAATAATTATATTATCGCCACAGGTTTCAACTATGGCAAAGATAATTGGCTCACAAACTTTGTATCAAAATAAAAATTAGGTTACAAAAGAATTACTCATTAGTATAACAATAGGAAGATGTGTTTTAAATAATCACAATGACACTTGGAATTTTCATTCTATATTAAGTTAGAGTATCTAAAATTAGATTTTATACGAAAGTAACTTCACTTTACAAAAACTTACGGTAACAGACTACAAACAAATAACTGAATATTTCTCAACATTGTTATCTATTATTTAGTAGAACTTTAACAATAAGAACATGATGGCCTTCCTTCAGGCAAGTTTACAAGTTGTCCAAAGTGGTTAAAGGCAATTTCAGTGAAAGGGCATTTACACAGAAATGCGTTAAGAACAAGAAATGAGGAATGAATATACGAATAAGCATTAAGCATTGACAGTTTGACACACACAAGAAAAAAAGGCTATTCGGATTCAGGTCAACCGGTGGGGAGTGGGCCCTTCGGCAAATTCGACAGCTTTCTCTATTGCACGTGGCATCATCAGAGAATATAGAACATACTTACTCTTCTTGCACACAGAAGCCATAGAAGGCCAGATCGGCCGTTTTCACTCTTTATATTTTAGTTGCCCCCCACAAGGGAGGCAGCGTCGGCAACGATAGTGTCGGGTCGGGATCAGTCGAAAATTAATAGCTATTAATATGTCTTTAATTTATAGCTATAATTATAGCTATAACTACCTATAAAACAGCTATAATAGTGTATAAAATTCAGCTATAAATATAGCTATAAACTACAGCTGTAAATTTTTCACAAATAATGAATAAAAATTAGCTTAAAATCAGATTTTTTCAACATAAATCGATTAGTACAGATGGTATCATCCGTATAGCAGTAAAACTGGGGTCCTGAAGTATTTTTGAATAAGTAGATTNTTTTTTTTTAATAATGTTGGACTTAAAAACTACTGAATTCCGCTTTTACAAATGTATTAACTCATGAATATTGATTTAAAAAGAGGTTTTAAGGTTCAGTTGCCAATGCTAGTATTATTGCGGGCCTGTATATATTATTGTGCGCGTATTATTGTAGTCAATGCCGATTCCAAATCAACGAGCTATCCGCAATAATGCCATCATAGTGAAAGAGGTTATGTGCGTACCAGTTATTGTGGACATGATTTTTTGTTGTGCAAATGTAAATTTTTAAGGCTACTTTGGAACAGAAGTTTAATTAAGTAGGTACTTTATAACTTGATTTAATGATTTCAAGTGCTTATAAACACGAATATACTCACCACAACTCATCAGTTCAATTAGTATATACGCATTATTTGAGAGTACCGCAATAATAGCCCCGTTTACCCTTCACAGTAATTTTTAATCTATAAGCAAGAGTTTCCATCAAATCCTAAATGTACCAGAATTAGAGCCGATAGCGGAAGCCACTTCAAAAAACACTTATGGTGATCAGTTTCCAAATTTAACATTATAACAAAAGAAACGCACAAGGAAAAGCTGTCAATTTCAATCTCTTCAATTAATACGAATTTTAATTTTCAACTTTTGTGTGTACAAACATTTTGGTCACTTTCGCAGGTTATAAGTTAAATATATATATTTTTTTTAAGTTATAGATTGTATGGATGATATAGTACAAGGTCTACCTAGAGAGATTGCGTTACAGTCGAGAATACGATTAGGTCATGATCGGGATGTCAATAGGATTTATTTACTGGCAACCATGATTAATATTGTTCTGATTTATTATTCAGCAGAATAACGTGAATAAGCACTCACTACTGAATCTAAAGAAATCGATTGGTAGGGTCAGTTATACAAGGCACTAATAAACTATTCTCAAAGGATTATTTATAATTGAGTAATTTTACAATTGCATCAGTATGAGGCAATGCGCGCAATAGTATACACGCTTTAAGCTCATTTTCGTGAATTTGATATTTTCTCTAATTTATTTTTCGTCAAAAGTAATATAGAGTTGGAACTATTATCAGACTATCCTATTATCCATTCTGTCTTTCTTTATCCTAGGGTAATAGTTCTCGCTAATATATATAGCATATACACTTCAAGCATGCAAATTTTTTGTATTTACCTGATAGACTAAGCTTATGTTCACATGGAGCGTAATAGAGCGAGCAGGATAGGAATTTCTCCATAAGCGGCTGTGTTAAGTCTATTGCGCCGCGCAATAGGGCTATCCTGCAGGGCAATAGACTTAACACAGCCGCTTATGGAGAAATTCCTATCCTGCTCGCTCTATTGCGCTCCATATGACTGCGGCCTAAGAGCTGGGGCCAGGTGGCTGGGTAAGTTGCGAAATTGCCGCCAATTCGTCAAATATTGGAAGAACTCATGATTCGTAGAGTCCCAAACTATTTTTGCGATACATATTATTGATAACGAGTTAGATTGTTTTGAAAAAAGTCTCAGGGTGTCAAACGGCAAAATAGCCGCCACCTAACGCAATGGATGGAGGATAAAAAGTTGACAACAGAAGTGGCATTAGTGGAGAAATTACACTGAAAAAAGTCCTCTACGATTTTGGCTGAATACGCCAGTGCCGTTTTAGCGGTTCGGCCAGTACATGCATATGTAACTATAGCAGACAAACAAAGCCAAAACGGCCTGACAGTCTGACACACTGCTGTTTTGGTAGTACAACCAACTACTACTGGCCGAATTGCTGAAACAGTGGTGATGTGTTCAGCCAAAATCGTAGATTTTTTTCAGTGTACCTACAGTACTAGCTAAAAATTGACCACCAAGGCAGGACACACCCCCTTCAAACAGCGAAACAGCCGCCACTTAACCAAACGTTTTTATGCAATAATATATGCTTGTAAACAGAGTGGCGGCAACGTTTGTCATATACAGGGCGTTCTGATTTTGAGCCCGGAAAACTATACCACGAGATAAAGATCATCAAAAGCTCTCGAAAAGCTTTTTACAAAATTTGGATTCGATGGATAATTAACGAGATATTGTTAATTTAATTATCGATCAATTCCTCCAATCACAGAGCACTTAGCCCCAGGAGGCGGGGCCTAAGAATTGTGGAGGGGCGACTACGCATAGCTAAACTCTTTTACGGAGAAGGTGGTAATAGGTATGCCAGGAGACAAGGTTACCGACTGCAGAGATTTGATCAGTTACCGTACCAGCGCAAAATTCAAATAGCAAGGCCGAATTATTTTAACCGGAGATCTGATTTTTGAAAAATGATTACGCACGTCCACTACGCTTATTCAGTGCATATTTTTTTCTCAGTAAATTTCACAGAGAAACAATTCAATTCAAATTTTTTTGAACATGCATCGCCTGATAAAAAAAACCAGAATGTGAGAGGGTCTCATGCGTTGAGCTCGAATACTCAGTCAAACTCTTGATCGTTTAACGTTGAACTACTTGGAGATAAAATTTTAATTTTTTGTATACTGTAGAAGAAGCTCATTTCACGCATTAACTTGGTCAAATTTTTTTATTTCATCAAACTTTTTAGTCTGATTTAC